ATGATCTCCATGTAAATCAACAAGTACACATAGATACATTCTATATATGCACAATTAAATCATTTAACCAAGCAATTCAACTTAACTTAAGCATGCTTAGCCATAATACAGTAGAATAACTCACTAAAGTGCAAGAGAAGTGTGAATTAGAGACCCCTACCTCTAATTGGATGTAAAATTCTTCTCAAACCTTAGAATTAGAGATTCTCCAAATGATGGCCAAAAATGGATTGGCTCCGATCAATTCGAAGCCCTCATTGCGTTCTTTAATTTGCCGCAAACGGCACTCCAAATCTCCAAAAGTTGAGAGAGAGACCTAAGATTGAAATATGAAGGAAAAGAAAAAGAAAAAGTGAAAGATAAGAGGGGAAGAGAGAGTGACGAGAGAGATAGAGAGAATTGAGACCTAAAGTGGTCTTTAGACCACCCAAATGGGGTGAGGTGGGTCCCACCCAATTTTCTTTTAATTTACACCACAAACATATATATACACTTAACAATTTGCACTCACATATGATACATTAATTTAAATGAACATGATGCAAATGAACCCAATCCCGTACACTAAACGTGAAAAGACGAAAATGCCCTTGCGGCGACAAAAATCCTGAAAAATGAAAAATGCTGAAAATTGGAAACATCACATCCCATCTCTTTCCCAATGATGTGCATGGATGCTTATTATTTCACAATGTCATGACAATAAAGAATTTCATTCTTTGCAAATCAACATTCACAATATCCATGCTTTCTAGAAATCTCTAAAATTTAATATCATACTTCTAAGTTACAAATTTTAGCACATATATTATAATAGGCATGAAATAAAGTCATTTAAGCATGCTTTCTCATACCACATAAACACATACATATAATAATATACTTCATGATACAACAATTAAGTTATTTTAAAGGAATCAACACAAATATAGCATGCTAGACATCAAACAAAAAGAATAATTCATAAAAGTGTAAGAATGTATGAATTAGGAACCCCTACCTCCAAAATTATGAAAACCCCCAATTTTGTGCCCTAATTTCAAAAATCCTAAGATGCACCAAAACTAAAATTGCTTACACCCACTTGAAGATCTCGCCGAGCTCTTCGATTTGCCGCAAACGACACCCAATAAATCTCACCAGTTGAAGAGTAATCAAACTTTAAAATCTTGAAGCAAAGTGAAAAGAAAAATGAAATGAAAAGGGGAAAGAAGATGGTGCCAGAAAGAGAGAATGAGAAAGAGAAAATGAGACTAAATGTAGTCTCTTGACCATAAAATGTGTAAGTGATAGGTCCCACCACCAAATTTTCACTTTTTTGACTTTTCTTCTCTTTTTCCCACCACACACACCCAAATACACACATATACATATATATAATTAAATCATAACATTACAAAAATTGGATGGAAAGGAGAGAAGAATGGATGAATGAGACATCTCTTCTGAAAGGATAACGTACTTCATTCTTTTTATTTGGTTGGATGGAAGAAAGGAAATGAGGTAACACCTTACTTTGCTTGTTAAAAAAGAAGGGAGGAGAGAGATTACTAATAGTGAGTTTATTTAATAATTATAAAAGATAGTCATGTAATTTAAAATTTTCATAAAAGTCTTGTTTCTTTTCCTTTATATCTTCCGTCCAAATTTAGAGGGTTGAAAATTTGTAAAACATAAAAGATGACTCATCCATCCTCTTTTCTCTTCCTTCATTATCTCTTCTTCACAAATGGAGGAAGTTTGTTTCTTCCTTTCCATCTTTCATCTATCTCTTTTTTTTCTTTCTACCAAACGAAAGTTTATTTCTTCCTTCTATCTTTCCTTCGCCTCTCTTTTTTTCTCTCTACGAATATGGTGTCTTTTTTTTTCTTTCTACCAAACGTAACATGGGGTCGACAAATTTATCTTTACTAGTCAAAAGGCGTATGCAATACTTAGTCATCATTATATATAGTATATATCACTAAATTGAAGTTTACTCACACTGGGTTTTATCAAAATATTATATGTTTTTTTTTCCTAATTAATATTATATGTATTTCTTATATAAAACATTATTGATGAAAATCTATAAACGAATATAATCAATAATTACAACAAAATAATAATAAAAATAAATAAGAGAATAATTAATAAATTAGTAATAATACTTCATACATTGTTCGAAAACATATTAAGAACTTTTAACATTATCTCCTTTCAAAATAAGATTAGCCAAATTAAATTTCAATCCCTAAAAAAGCACATAAATAATCATTTATAAATTTAAATCATTATATGAAAAGTAATCAAAATATGGAGGTTAGAGAAAATAATAATAGATACATTACCAAGAAATAGATTATGCAAGAATATCATATATAAAATTATGGGGAAAAAAAAAAAAAAAGAAAAAAAGAAAAAAGAATATCATATATATGAGCATTACCCACTATTAAAATTTAAAAATAAAATAAATGAATAAATTCGGTAGACAATGGCCTCCATGTTGGCTTTGATGCAGTCATTGCTAAGATATCTAAGGATATGACAACGGGGCTGAGTTGGGGCGGATTTGATTAAACTCTATTCTGCCTTGTTAGAAAATCCGTCATACCAACTCCGGCCCCTATTTCGAGACGAGTTTGTAATTGTTATACCATCTTCACCCCTATTCCGATAGGCAAAGTACTGACTCTGCCCTTCATACTCCGTTTAATTGTGGTTCGAGGCGAGTTATGTCATTTTTATTATGTAGTAAAAAGAAAACTAGTCCAATGTCCTCAAATTGGGCTAATAAATAAGTTGAACCAGCTTTTAAACTACTAAGTAGGGAATATTAATAGATTAATTGACACCTCTGACAAAGTAATAAGGGTGTTAAGAATATTAAATATATATAAAATACATAAAGGTGGGAGGGTTCAATTATTTTATCATACCCGACTCAAACCCATTTAGAGCACTACCAAATCCACCCCATTAGGGATAGGGCGGGGCGAAAACCTGGCAGAGCAGGGAAAATTGCCATCCCTAAAGATATCATCTTCAATCTTGTTGTTATATGTATCTGCAACGTGCATTTAAGGGCCAATTCATGATCGTTTATGCATTCGAGAGAGAAAATAGTCAAAACCAAACTCATGAAAAAGAGGGAGATATATATTTCTTTTCAAGGCCAGAATGTTAGATTAGAAGTATGAGGTGTGAAGGCTCGAAGCCAGGCTCCCGAGGACAACGGGAAGCAACCCAACCGCTGAGTTATGAAAGCGTTCGCAAATGAAATAGTATATAGAAAAACAAAAAGTGAATAATAAAAAAAGATTATGATGGGTAACTCAAGAGGGGTAAATGTTTGTTTGTGCATTTGAGAGATGAAGTAGTCAAAATTAAACTCAAAGAAGGGATAGGGATAGGCAATTCAAGAGGTGAATGATAATAGATATGTAGATAATGGTGTGCTGGTGCAACACAAGTTGCACAATAACCAAATGGAGTATAAAGAATAAATATGGTCAAGAAAGAGAAAATAATATTGGGCCAAAGAATATAAGAGTGATTTTTTTTTTTTTTTTAGTTGGACTCACACACACGTTTTTTCTGAAACTTGAATTTCTAACCTCTCTTTAGGAAGTAAGAGATCGATACCGCTAGGCTACTGACCCGTTGGTAATATAAGAATGTTTTGATCTCGTAAAGATTTTTTTTTTTTTTTTTTTCTGCCAAATATATAACATTTTATAAAAACATAAAAGTAATACATGAGACAAGGTGGTGGTCCTGACCACATACAACCGTGTCAAAAGTACAACTATGCATATCTCACCACAGAAGATGAAAAGTCAAATCCATATTCCAAACCAACGGTCCAAGGAGACTGCCAAGGAGCCAGTACAGGCATAGAACTAGGGCCACGTAAACAAATATAAGTCCTACAAGCATTTAGTGTCTTTCATGCACAAGCACAACTGACCACGTCATAATTGTCTTTGGCAAGTGCACAGTACTTCGCATTGAAAGAAGACAGGAACTGCTCGCCGAAATCCAAGATGACAATGCCATGTTCGCCGGCGATACCGGGGCAGCGAAGACACCTATGGCCACAGCAAACCGCCGCCAATCCCAGGAAGCATCAGAAATTCCATGAACCAAACATCACCCGTCGTTGAAAGGTTTCTTATAACACCCCACCGTAGTGCAAACTCCATGGTTTGAGAAGAAGGCCCAACACTACCGAACCATAGATCCGGCATGGAAACCCAGTGTAACACTCGGAGGGAGAGGAACAAAGGAAGTTTAATAAAGAGGGCAGGACCCAAAACAACACAATTTAGCACCAAAAAGGAGAATAAAACAACCGTAACAATACCCGGATCTCGTTAATGTTGACCTGGTTAACCAAGCATCGTTTTCTGCTGTGGATGGCCATCAAAACAAGCTGACCATGATTCAGAAACTTATCTAACCACTGCTTTTTATGCAACTTAGATACAGAATTTAATGTCCCATCTTTAACATTAACCCTACTAACTGGAATTCATTAGTTGATTGGTTGGCTTATATCATAAGGGTATAACAAGTAAAATGGTTCACTGCCCATAAACCGGAGAAAAGTTGTAACTGACGGAGACCATGTAATCCCTCAACGATGAGGTAGTTCTACTAAATCCTTGTGAAACCAATGCAGAGTCCGACCAATTTCATCTTTACTGAAATGGTCAGATGTCCAATCTCCGAACAGAGGAAGAAAATTGTTTAGGGAAGAAACGGTGGCTGAAGATAAGAACAGTAGCCTCCACGCTTTCAGACTAATAAGTTTCGTGCCTACCTTGTTACCAATTGTCACAACTGCATGAAGATCCAGCTCTTTCGATCAATTGGTGCAATGGCTAAGTTTCAAATTTCAACCATGACTCCAAAATAAATAATTCTTTAATCAGTTTTTTACGGTCTAATAGTAGAACACTAGACCAAAAGAAGGTTCCATTAAAGATTTATTCAGCCACATGGCACATGGTTAATACGGAGACTATTCTGTAAATTCATTTACAACCTCCCAAACAAAATGTAACAATGTTATATAAAACAAAAACAATAAAATCATATACTTTCATTCTAGTCAGAAATTACCCTCAAAATATATATTTTGGGTACTTTGTTTTCCTAACAACAATCTCCCCCCTTTGATGATCCTGTTCCCAAGCATATTACCATAAAATGAACTTCGAAATTCTTCAAAACCAAGAAAAAGCAGTCAACCAAACAAACCATAAAAAGGACAACAATCACACATGCCACCATATCCCAATTTTGATATAAAAACAAGAGAAGAAACGAAAGGAAAAAAGAAGAATAATTGAGGGGGAAAAAAAAGGACAATTAAAAAACCTACGACTAAAACCCAGCCTAGTAGAAAAAATAGCTCCCTAATACTCTCGCTGTCATCTGAAAGACTGCACCAAAACCTAACCCTTTCAGGCAAAAGAAGAAAACTAAGCTTGTATCTCACTCACTATCCTAATTTCTAGAACGGCTTGGAATTAGAGGCCGAGGAAATGGCGTTTTCTCTAGGATTCATAGCAGCACCGCTCTTCGCTGGACGAGAATTAAGAGACAGGTTTTCAGTGAGACTGATGACAGATGATACAGGATCAGATTTACCAGTCATCGCTGATTCGTCAGTTTTATTTCCTCCTGCTCCTAAATGCTGCTGCTCAACAATGATAAGTAATACATCAGGGATATTCAGCCACATGAAAAATACCGAAAGTAAATAAATTACGGGTAAAGTGCAATATATATATATATAAATGTGTGTGAAATATAGAATGTGCAAAACCCCCCTGACGTTCAAGAAACCCCCATACATTTTTCAAATTGAGCAAGGACATTTTCTCAACTTGAAGACTAAAATACCTTAAATGCCCTTGAAGCAAAATAAAAAATATAAACAAACAGCTATATGCACAAATTTTATTAAGGGCATTTTGGGGTTTTTAAAAAAAAATTGGTCAAAATTGACGATCAGGGCCCCCTTGGTGTTCGAGAAACCTCACTGCATTTTTCAAATTGAGTATACAAGGATATTTTCACAATTTGAAGAATGAAATACCTAAAATGCCCTAAAAACAAAATTAGAACACTTATATACACAAATTTTATTAAGGGTATTTTGGACTTTTTATAAAAAAAATAAAAATTTGGTAAAAATTTGACGATCAGGGGGGCAATTTGCACAAATTTTCAAATGTTAGGGATTTATATGCACATACTACATAGCAAGGGTTTTTTGCACAATTTTTTTATATAACACCACCCATTAATTTAATAACGAATGACACAAATAAGAGTGGCTCGGAAACAACACAATGTGTTTACAATGTTAAAAGTTCTTTTTTTTCCCCAATTCTGAAGGGTTCAAAAGCCTTGGAATGTGAACATGGCGAAGTTTTCAGGACACAATAGAGTTCTAAATGGACGCAATAAATGTAGTTTAAGATGAAAGTAATTGGATCCAAAATTAGCTACAACTTGACGAGATTATTTCCCACAGGTCATTTTGTAAAGCAAAACAGAATTCAAGAGGATTATGGGATCCTGAGTACACTAAATCATTGCAGTAACATAATTAATTGGCTCGATATAAATGCTACAATAAGGACTTCACAGGCAGTCTAAAACCAGAGCTTGAGTGCCTGTGTGTTGGGGTGTGTGTGCACGCGCAGAGAGAGAGAGAGAGAGGGTGGGTGGGGAACTCACAGGGATGCCATTACTCTTATATCTCTCTGTTTGAGGTGAAGCTGTCTTATTGCTCCTTTTGGCTTTAAGCAACTTTTCCCGGTTTTCATAGAAGTTGAAATCATCTAATATTGATGTCTTTGCTGAGTAACTTTTCAAAATGTTCAGCATTTCCACACCTTGCTTGAGTCCAATCTGAAATAATAGGAATAATGGCAAGAACTTTTAGATATCAATCGTGATAATATGTCAGCCTACATTGATTGTACTTTTCAAACAAATAAAAAAGCATATAGAAGAAGATATTGCATATTGGGGAGAGAAGAAAAAGAAAAAGAAAAGGAAAAAATAAAAACCTATTAATTGTATCATAAAGAAATACTGAAAATACCTCCTGGGTGTCCCTGGTAAATGTAACCGGCCTGTTATCATTGTTTTCAAGAAGAATATGCCGGAATTGACCATTAGGGATGTCCTTAATTATATGCCACTTTACTGGGAAGAACCCATTCCACTTGTCTAGCTGCCAAAAGTCCATGTCTTTATTAAAGTCTACCTTCCCAACCATCTCAGCTAAACCTACAAACTGCCCACTCCCATTCACCTAAAATTTCAGGAGAAAAAAAATGCAGGAAACAGTTATCTTACTAACAAACAAGGCATTAGGAGAAGCTAATCAGCAAAAACTGAAAGATTTCAATAATTGATATCAGCTTACAGCCCTGCAGATAAATCTCTGCTGAATGTAAAAAGAGTGCAAAAGAGAGTAATAGAATGAACAACAGCCGAGGAGAAAAAACCATTCTTACTTCTTTACACACTTTAAAGGGAAAAAAATTGTTTTAAACTTACTGAAAAGAAGAGGAAGAGAGGACATTTCGTGCCTGTCTCACGTGCTTTTGCCTCTGCATCATGGAAAGCAGCATCTAGTTTCTTATTGCCAGTAGGAGTACTGGACCAAACATCATATTTGACGCACTTGTGAACATCATCTTCACTATAAGACTTTATAACATAGAACTTTGCATTGTCATACTCAGTCTGAAAATCTTCTAGGTTATATTGATATTTTTGAATGCTAAGCGCCAGCTGTCCCTCCTCAACTGATGAATTTAAAGTACTGCTCCCGCACTGGACCCTAGGACCGCAGGTTAGCTCCGCTGAGGCTTCAAACTCTCCATTTCTGTTAAACTTCTCTCTCTGCATAAATCTATTGTTGCCATTATATACTCTACCATTTGGCCTATAGTTCACTGGACCATCATGAGCGTAGAGACCCTGGCTTCGGTTAGCAAGTGATGAAAGCTTTCCAAGAGGGTGAAACCCCTTGACAAGGCCTGCTGATTGAAAACCAGCACCAAACTGCAGAACATAAAACATTGAAGAACAATAATAATGAACCCTTATGATATGTCCAAATCAAGTGCATTAAAAATTTTAATAATTAAGTTGGTTCGAAGCACTGTATACCATAAAGTTAGATAAAGATTTCGTGACTTTAAATGTCCATTAGCATATACATTAAAAATTTAGGAAAGCCAGAGTAAAGGGCAAAAAGGAACATCACATCCGTAATTACATATTAGATTCCAGGGATAATTAGCTTCTGACACACTTGCACTACAAAAATATTCAATTATAGAAAGAAAATCACTAGAAAAAGAATAGTGTCATCCTCCATATTAGACAAAAGTGAGTTAGGAAAAGCAAGAATTAGAAAGTGAAAAGGCTGACAATACTATATTAGGCAGAAAAACATGAGGCCGTTTTACATAGGTTATATAGCTTCGCCAAGCAAAAGATCTCATATGGCTAGCTTGGGATCTGATCAATCAACACGTTTTTCAATGTAACAGTGGGCACCATAATGCCAGTCAACAACCAATATAATGTTTGAGAACAATTGAGCTTCATCAATGCCTCCATTAGAATTTGTCAAGAATATTCAGCTGTGAGATCAATATTTGGCATTTTAATAGAACCATGGTAAACTTAAACTACATATATTGCCAATTTGAAACATTCAAAGATTATTAACATAATGTTAATGAAAAATATTTTTTATTGCACAAGAAACATCTACAGTAAAAGCTCTTATTTCCAAAAGTAAAACTTTAGCACAATACTAATTTATCTTCCTTACATCTTCTTTAAGTTTAAAATTTTAAATTAGAAATGTGAATCATGCCCTGGCTGTGGACTACAAATTTGCATTCAATGATAACATGAATCTAACTCAAGGTCATATCATCATATAATATTATCTAAACAATACAATGATTCTTGAAATGTTAACCAGTAATGATAATAACTTATTTCCTTAAAGATTGAACCATTTCATTAATAAACTCCAAGCAAGAACTTCCAAAAATAAATAAATAAATAAAAGGAAAAAAAAAAAAAAGGGTGACCTCTCATTCTATAGCAAACAAATGGGAAAATACAGGATACATATGGAAGCATTTTCATGATTTAATAGTACAAATGTTAAGAAAACGGAAGTAAATGGGATTTCTTTAACTTTATGCTACAACGTTGATTTCAACCAAAAAATGAACATCAATATAGACATAATCATCCAATGAAAGCCTGCATCAAATACATGTATACCTTGTTAAATGGTTTAAGAGGTTGAGTTTGAAGGATAGACTTGGAAAAATTAGATGAGGCAGTAAATGGTCGTGACTTTGAATCCAAAGGCAACGTCGAAAAGTTGCTAGTAGGAGTGTTCATTGTTCTTATAGAGTTGAAACTATTTGACTTCACTGAAGAATTATTGCTTGAAGCAGATTTTGACTTTCCAGGTATGGAAGTGGTACCGGCTGCGACATCCCCGACATATGTTGAATCCCATGAGTAGCATGGCATGGCTTCTGGCCCATATGAAACAGGCTGCTGAAGAAATCCCGATGAAGTGAAGTACTGCTGTTGCCCATCAACACCCATAAAAGTTCCAGTAGCATAAGGATTATAGCCAGGCAAATAATAGAGAAGTGAACCATTATCTGATTGGCTACCCTGGAAAGACCAACAAATGAAGCGTGAAAAGGCCACCCAAACTCAATTGATTAGGGAGCTCCTAGTAAAGGCAGCCAATAGAGAGTTGAATGTATTTTATGGGAGTACAAATTCTGGAAATCCTGTTGACAAACTTAAGAGAATAAAATTAACATAAAAGTTATAGAATGAAGAGTATACTGTATAAGAACCGCCCCCAGCATTAAAATAGCGTTGATCATCCAATTGAGTAACTGTCTCATTATATCCTGCAAAAGGGAGGGGAACATGGAGCATTGAGAAAACTTAATTTGACAAAAACTCTTGACTATTAAATTTCTAAAACAATAATGCAAATTGAACTACAAACTGAATCATCTATCAGTTTGCCTCAAGAGTTCACATTTTAGCACATAATAATTTTAATAATAAAAGATGCATGGATGGCTTCAATTTTGTACTTATAGGATTGTAGACATTGGATCAAAGGTTATTTTCACCACAAAATTAATTGTGACAAACATAACGGATATCATCATGCACAACCAATGTTATATGTAGATCAGGTACAAGTATCAGGTGCAAGTGTTTATCCAAGTGCAGAATGCCAAGTCTCAAATGTTCTTTAAATATATATTCAACTATGATTTAAATTAAAGGGGATGCAATAAAAGGGGGTTTCCATCTATCTTAGAAATAATTAAAAAAAAAAATTTTAAAAAAACCAAAAAAAAAAAAAAAAAAAAAAAAAAAAAAAAAAAAAAAAAAACACTTCTATACTATCAAATTTGAGCTTTACTTCTGAAACCATCAAATGTGAAGGATTGAGCTGTCCATTTTGGGTTTGTGCATCACAGTGTGAGACGCATACCCCACATATCATACCCATGGTGTGTCATGTCCACATGGGTACATGAAAGCAAATAGGAGAATCCATATAACCATGTAGAGCACCACCACCTACTAGGGAGTTGGGATGCAAGTTGAACAAGTTCAACCTAAACCAAGACAGGACAAACCCAATCTTTCTTCAAGGTTGGGCAATTCTATCACTTGGCTAGGGTAGGGGGGCTTATAATGTTCAACCCAACCTCATTCTGGGTTGGGGCTTGGGAAGAATTATCAAGCAACCAAACCCAACTCAAACCCAATTTCTTTTTATCAGTATTGTTAACAAATTATTTCTGAATGTAATGTTAATATTTGTTTTTTTTTTTTTTGATAACAAGTAATGTTAATATTTGTTATACAATACACGACATCATAACCGTTAGTTTCTAAACAAACAGCTAGATAGGAGTCATTAAAAGGTATCAATCTACCATTCCCATTTGTGTTTGAGCAACTTGAGAGAGGATAGAAGTGAAACCCTAGCTATAACATTTATGCACCACCATTGGATCACTAATGTTCAACGTCACCAATCATCACCATCATCCCCACCAGTCATTGTGTTGTGGTCATATTGATACTTATATGTCATGAGCTTGGAAGATTAACAAATTTAAGTATATCATCTTGTTATTTTATATGAGATCATCTTGTTATTTTATATGAGATCATCTCTTAAAACAACAGACTAGCCGAAAGCTGAAGTTTTGCATGTGTGCAACTTTAAGGTTATTATTACAAAACAATTAATATTGAAGTCCTTAATAAAGTGTTCCTTTTGTGGTTCTTGTGTATGTCTATTCAGAGAGGTTGATCTAGGTTTTATTTTTTAATATGAATTTGATGAATTTTCTAAAATAATTAGTTCAAGCGAAAACCAATCAACCCGGTTCCAACTGGGCAGGTTGCTTTTTGGTGGCTCTTCATATTGGAACCCGGGTCAGGGCTCAGGCTTAAGTTGAGGAGTCTATACACCCGGTTGGGGTTGGTTTTACTCCACAACCCTTCCAACAGATCTGACTACCACCCCTACCAGCCACTATCACCTAGAAATTAATCAAGCAAATTTAAAGAGCTTATCCCAACATGAAATATATAAGTTCCACCCTCTTGGGCCTGAAAATTTTGCTCCCCTACTAAACCTTTTAAGAATTCTTGGGCCAAAATTTTCAAGGCACTTCTCTTGCTGTTGAAAGCAGAAAATGGTTCAATTTATCCCTTAAACACAAGGAAAGTAGCCACTGAAATGCTAATTATACGATATCTTCAAAAAGGAAACACTAAGAAGAAAATATTGAAACCAAGATGGTGCAATAGCCAATATATATGGACAACAGGCCGGCAGCATGAAATTGGCCAAAAGAATATAAAAGTAAGACAAACTTGATCGGCAATCAAACAACAATATTAGATTTAAACTATAAATAATTTGATTACTAAAACTAAAATCCACCTGTTTGCTTAAGAACAAATCAAGTTCAAATTTGACAAGCTAGTCTCAACTCTCAATATAAATATCTTGTAGATAATAACACTAAACAGTACCAAGGGAGTGCAACCCACGCTGGTTTCAAAATGTATTCTCATTGTTTTGTTACAACAACCATTTATTATACTTTTCTTTGGATGAAAAAAAAAAAAAGTTAACACGCCATTACCTACAGGTTCTACAGTCATGCTCAACCTCATGGCAGGAAAATCTAGCAGTAGCATGACAGATTTTGGAGGATGGGGACAGCTAAACATGTCATAATAATTTTCCCTCAACTTTGACCCATTATGATTTCAGATTTCACTTGCGAACAAATTAATGTGTTTCTATCAGGTGAATCTATAATATGTTAATCTTATCATGTTTAAGGAGTCATCTAACCTGGGTAATAATAATTGTAACAGCTTGTAGGTTGATTGAAAACACCTTGCTCTGCAACTGACTCTAAATTGGTCTCACCTTTCATGCTGGAGGAAGCATTTCCAGAAGAGGACAAGGAAGAGGTTGAATCATGTTGCATTCCATCTTTCTGGGAAGCCTGAGAGGATAAAAAAACTACAGAGTAAGTGTCCCTGGAAAAGGTCAGAAAAAGATGAGGTGACGAGTCTGATCATAATCCCCTAACTACAGTGATGTCAAAGAAGTGTTTTTATTCATATACAAAACAAAGCCACATAATGCCATGCTGGATTAGCATGAGTTCGATGTAAAGATTATAAATCCCATAAATTAAGTGAATGAATGAAAAATCCATAAAACAACAGTAGTACACATGGATACATTACAGTAGACTAAGAAGCACGGACACGAATATGGGACACAGATACGACACGACATGGCCATACGGCAAATCCAAAAAAATGGGGACACGGCAAATAGTATATATATATATATATATATATATATGATGTAGTACTTGAAAAATTACTGAGTGTTACTATTTTTCATCAACCTCACAATGAAAAAAACACACAAATCATAACTCATAACTAATAAACTATAAAAGAACAATGTTGCAGAGTTATAAAACCAAATAAAAAACAAGACATTGGAATAATAACTAGTATCATTTAATTACAAGTTTAAAATTATTATGTACTGACCATATAAGTGAGTAAAAGTTGTTAAATATCTTCACATATTTATACTTTAACCCAATTTTCTTTCAAAAATTATCTTTTAAACCCCCGAAAATAAGACACGCGTGTCGGACACACACCCCTGGCGTGTCGGACGCATGTCCGAGGAGTGTCCGTGCCGTGTCCGAAAATTTTAAAAAAATAAAAAATTTCCAGACACGTTTTTTTGTGTGTCCGACGCGTGTCGGACACGGATTCTTCGCCCATTTTGGCGTGTCCGTGCTTCCTAGACAGTAGATCACATGACAAACTACATAAAGATAGTAAATCCGCAACACCCTTAATCAACAAATCCTAAAACAAAAAGGGCAAATTACATTGATACATCTTGAGATTTGCTTATACCAACAACCCCCTAGACATTTGGTATGTGATACCTACCACCCCCGCCCTTAGAGAGCCATCGCGTCAGACATTTGACACTATAAAATTACCTCATGACTTGCTAAAAAGACATTTTCATATTAAAATTTTCATTAATAATGGATTAGCAAAGTTGACATTTCACGGGGAACAACTCTATGACAACGTGGGTGTTTCTATAGGTTTTGCCAAACTTAGCATCTTATGTGTACTAAAATGAAAACTGGGCAGTGTAATTTACCCCCAAAAAAAATTTAAAAACAAAGTTAGCCATGCCTACAATACTACGATCTACAAACCAAAAGCCACAACATATATAGTAAATTGATTGCCAGAAGGGCAAAATCATGCATGAAATATATGAATCACCACAACTGATCAAATTTCATAGATTTCAATTTTCAACCAACAAAGATTTTAATTTTACCTAATACCATAATAGGTCCCGGGCATTATAAACAAATTCACTCTCTAACAAGAAACTAGATCCAACCAAGGACAGTGGCAAGAAACCCAAAATGAGAGACTAAAGAACATCTATGTCACCATTGGCATACCATATCTTGATCTGCCAATTGAATGCAAGAATCTGATTTCAATCCTGCAGCAACATGCTCAGCTGGAAGTAAATAGTTAAGTAACAACTTTGTAAAGATTGTGATTCCCAAATTACTCAAAAGCTGTCATAGCCAACAAAAGCAAGAAACTTTATGCATATGAAAAAATCTAAAGTATACATGAAATTTAATTAAAAATGTATAAAACCACCGAGTGTATGCCAAATCTGCATGTATGCCGGTTTAATCCATATTATCAGTTTGATCAAACCATGCAACATTCTGGTATTACTATCGGATCAAACTCTTCTGATCAGGAACTACATATCAGGTTGTGGTGTCAGCAACGAAATAAAGTTTAAACAATTCCCAATAAACACATCAACAGTTCACATAAGCACAACATTGTCAATGAAGTAAATATCATCCCAGCTTCCACTTCCAAACAAAAAAAAAATTGAATATGAAAAAGCACATATACAAGGCCCTAAAAACTGTTTAGATAGAACTTAGAATTAGGTAAAATTTGCAAAATTCCACAAATTATACAAACCCAATTCCCAGAAAATCTACAAGCCCACAATTCAAGTCTGTATAGGCGTGAGAACAGTCATAATACGTATAAATCTGTGTGCAATATCACACTAATTAAACTAAAGCTGATTCAAAAAGTAATAAACAAAGGATACATTTCTCAACTTTCTTCTCACCAGCCATCAGCAATCTTCAAATCCAATCCCTTCCTACAATAGAGAGAGAGAGGGAGAGAGGGGAATGAAACGGTTAGTAAGACATCAAATACAATTTGTCTATATAGCAGTTAAAACACTCTTTCCAAACCAAAGTTAATTTATGAATAAGAAAACGGATATACTAAGAATTGTTCATAAAGCTTATTAGTTATCTATATTATGAAAGAAAAGTTTGGTGCGAATTCATGGCAAATGATATTATACACTTCAACGTGAATAGAAGAACATAATTCTACTACTTTAATAATAAAGTGTAGTACTATATATATGCTTGACAAAAACCCAATTTAAACCCAATTTTCTACACTAGGGAAAGGTTGCAGACAATAATCAGAATTTAACTCGGGAAAACCAACAGAAGATACCATTCAGTCTCAAAAACAATTCAAAGCCTACGAGTATGAGATATTTTGAGAAAAGTTCAGATATTGTATATAATTTGATAATTATATCCAAACAACTAGTACATTTTAAAAAAAAAAATTGCAAAAGATTAAAGTTCATATTTTTATAAAATTGCAAAAGATTAAAGTTCATATATTTATAAAATTGAAAAGATTAAAGTTCTTCTAATTTTCCTTTTTATTGCCCGGAAGAAAGGGAAAACAAAAATCTATAAATTTATAAGTAAAAAAATAAATAACGGCAACAATTTCAAACCCTACCCAGTCATAAAAGCGCCTATTTTCCCTCTCTCTTCGAGAGAAAGAAAGGATAAAAGAAAAAGAAATTCCCACCACCGAAAGAAAGACTACAATAGTAATTCACCAACTTTTATGGAAAAGTCACTGATTTTGCGCCCCATTTCGGGAAAAAAAATAATAGCTTTAAACTAAAAATTTTGACTAACGTTTGAATAAAAACCATATATATAATTTGTATTGTATATATAAATATATAAACAAATCAATAGAGAAATAATAAGCTGGAAAACTTGAAAACAAAAGGAACGCCAAACAAAATATATATTATAAATAAATAAAGATACTTGGAAACAGAATTGAGTTAAGAACACGTAAGGATGGAATAGAAATCTCCATTAGAATTTCACACTTTGAAGTAGCAAAATCTCCAAAGTTTTTGGAAAAAATAAAAAATTTAAAAATAATAAACAGATAAATAGAAGAAGAACAATAACAAGCAGCGTGAATTCAATCTCTCTCTAAAACTATTGCTCTTTTTCTCTCTTTACACTTGAGAAGGAGACAAAAGGCATAATAAATGGAGGCCAACCTAATGGAACACTGGATTGACACCGCCGATTCCGATCTGATAAACCTTATGCACCACTAGAGTAATCCTCCAGTGGGTTTTGCTGCCTAGACAACCGCTTTCGGTCCCCGGAGAGGGTTAGGAGAGAGAAAGTAGAGAGCTGTGAAGCCAAAACGATGGAAGCATAAAAAAAGGAGAAGCGAAACGGCGTGAAGGGTTGAACCCTTGGTACTGATGGGATCCGAGGGGTGGTATAATTTCTTAGTCTAGTTAACAAGGAATGTGGACCGTTGGATTAGTCGTATAAGGTCAAAATGTTTCTAGAGAAAAACGTTGGACAAAACAACGCCTTGAGGCTTCAAAATTTACAACTTTTCTCCGTAAAATTTTCCTTAAAATCAGAGGAAAATTTTGATTTGTGCTCTTTTTCTCCTAGCCAAATCATGAAATCTTACTTCTTCTTTTTTAATAATTTAAAAAAAAAAAAAAAAAAAACACTAATCAAATGCATACTCTACTTCCTTATTCACTCTACTTTATTTCATTTTACTTGTTTCATTAATACTATGTTTCTACTTTCTTTCTTTTTTTCTTTTTCTTTTTTTTCTTTTTTTTTGGCCTGGGAAACACGAGACTACATATTATTACTTATAACCAAAAGTACAAGCAAGCAGAGCAAAAAATAAACATTCCACGTTACAAGAAGGCATGTTACAAGAAGGATATGGATCCTCCCCATAAACCATCTCTCTCATGGTCTCTCCAGACTAAATCTAACGGTTGACATTAAGACACGTGTTCACTTACCTATACTACACCGTTTTGACACCACCAAACAAAGTTTTGTGCTTCTTTTCTCTCCTCCTCCCCCTCCTCCTCTAACTTTCTCTCTCTAAATCTAACGGTTGATATTAAGACAAGTGTTCACTTACCTATACTACACCGTTTTGACACCAAACGGACCAAACAGTGTTTTGTGCTTCTTTTCTCTCTCCTCCTCCTCCTCCTCCTCCTCCTCCTCTTCCTCTTCCTCTTCTTACTTTCTCTCTCTACACCACTCCAACGAACTCTATGTCGTCTTTTTCGCCGTAGGCTGTAGCGTTTCCTTCTCTGACTCCGTCTCCCGTGGTGACTGCCCCGACCTCCTCTCCGATTGCTTTGTGAGGTTTGATCTGAAGATTTTAAGCCCAAAGACCGAAAATTAACACTGAATGGAGGAAATATTGACTTTAAGTTTTAAAAATAGATAAAATGGGTAAATTAAAAAGAAGAAGAAAAGAATCAGAGGAGTTCACTAATTAGAGGATAGAACTCAACAAACAATTTAAAAAAAAGAAAAGGAAATCAACAAATTGAGTTTTAAGACGATATAAAGGTAAGAGTTTCCTATTACCCGTGTTCATCGTGTTCATAAAAGTCTCTAATAACTCTCATTTGATATAAAAATAATCCTAAAAAAAAACTAAGAAGAAGAAATTAACATATATTCATATATGAGGCAACATGAACATGAACAGAAGAAGAGGACAAAAGAACACCTAAACTTGCCGTCCTGAAATTAATACTTTCTTAAATCGAAAGATCACATAACAATGGAGTTGGAAATTGGTATTTTCACGGTTCCTCTCTCCCATAAAATTGATTCCACACAGTATTGTGAAATTATGAATGCCATTTTTTCACTGCAAAAAATGGGCTCTCCCCCTAAATATTGGCTATTAACTATATATCCACTGGAGACGGAGTCGGAGGAGGTCGGGGCAGTCACCACGGGAGACGGAGTCGGAGAAAGAGTCACTACCGCTTGCGGCGGAGAAGATGACCGGCGTTCATTGGTGGGGGTGTAGAGAGAGAAAGTAAATGGAGGAGGAGAAGAGAGAAAAGAAGCACAAAACGGTGTAGTATAGGTAAGTGAACACGTGTCTTAATATCAACCGTTAGATTTAGTCTGGAGAAAGCAGGAGAGAAATGGTTTACGGAGAGGATCTGTATCCTTACAAGAAACCCATAACTAAACGCCCGATGGGAGAAGAGTCTATGATTCACATACACTTGAGGTAGAAGACCAGCCAGTGGGCGCAGGCAAACAGGTGCAATAACATAATAGCCCAATAAAGTCTAAAAGCCCACATAAGCATTAACATGGATTTAACTTAAGACCCAGCCAAACAAACCCATGTAAGAGGAGGCCCACCCATAAGAACTAGAAGCTTCGCCCGGACCCACCTCTACACACCTAGCATGAACCAAACGCCAATAGAACGACGTCAGCAGGATGCAGTAATCGAAAAACACCACCGTCATTGGAAAACACCATAAGCAGAGGATATCGTGAGAGCGAGACATCGTCCCAACGACCAAGACGGCAACGATTGATTATTATCCCACAAAGGGATTTGAGAAGTAATTGCATGGCCTAAAGAAATCCAGGAAGGAGCGAGGGTTTCCTTGAAGGAATTATTCAGAGGGCTCCCAATAGTGAATGCATCATTGCCATGAACAAGCAGCAAAGAGACCTTTAAACGCCAGATCGGGTGAACCTCGTCCTCGTCGAGGCTGAAATTGACAGTGCCATTGTGATTGCGGCGGGGATGTCTCAACCACACCAAGACCCAACACAGAGACACGAGAATACCCCGGGAAATCAAAAGCATAGGCATCAAGCACAAACCCACTAGAGGAAAAACAGCAACAAAACCCACCCAAACCCAATAGACCAAGGCTACCGGTGGATCTTCATCATCAACCACTGATGGATCCAAGGAAACCTAATCTAACATCGAGACTAAACAAACACCAACACAACACATATATAAAAATAGAACTAAAAAAGAAACAACTAACACAATACCGGGATCAAAGGAAAAGATCGACACAAAAGAGCCATTCTTTTGGCCGCCGGCCAAAATACGCGCTCCAATAATCCGTCAGAAACAGGAAACCATCCTAGCGAACCACCCATATAAACGAGTGACTTGAGATTACAAGGAAACCATCCCCATGTACCACGACATTGGAGCAAAAACCCCCAACTCTGATGAACAGATAGACTGTTATAGTGAAAGAGCAGAGAGAGAGCGACCTAGATATTAGTTCTACTTTGACGTTGAATAATAGATATTAGTTCCACGGAACACCCACTCAATTAAAGTACACCATTTATTAAAATAGGTGTAAAAAAAAAAAAAATTATATAATTAAGGTAAAAGTGCCAACCCAACCCTTCCCTTTCCCCACCCCCACTATTTTAAAATTGTAATAAAATTTGCTAAGTATTGTCGGTTACAAATTATACCCTAAACTATTAAAAAGTTACAAATTCTCTTATCTCGGTCACCGGATATCATTTTTTCATGTTTAGAGGGTCAAAATTACCTAAATACTCCCACTTATTAATTTATATAAACACATATAAAATATCCTAAATGTCAAATACCCATAATACCTTTTAAGAGGTATCTTTTTTTTTTTTTTTTTCGGAAGGTCTTTTAAGAGGCATCTTGCAACTAAACAACAGATCAAGATTTTTTTTTTTTTTTTGACAATTTTGCCTAATAATAATAATTTAAAATAATAACAAAATAAAGTGCATTATTAGTTGTTTGATGGATCCATATTCCTACAAATGATTTTTACAAGCTCATAAATTAACAAAAAAAAAAAAAAAATAGCTCAAATAATAATAATAAGTAGAAGAAGAACTACTACTACTACTAAAAATAAATTGCTACTACTACTACGACTACTAAAAATAAATTGTTTGATGGATCCATATGCCTACAAACAGTTTTTGCAAGCTCGTAAGTTATTTTTTTTAAAAATAGTTCAAATAATAATAATAATAATAACGACTACTAATAATAGTAGTAGTAGTAGTAGTAGTAATAATAATAATAATAACAAAAATAAATGGCTTCATTAGTTGCTCAATGGGTCCATATACCTACAAATGGTTTTTGCAATCATAAATTAAAAAAATATATAAAAAAATAGTTCAAAAGAGTAGTAGGTACATGAATATATATGAACATACGTATATACTTACCAAATATATATATATGAACATATATGTATTAAATCAAACTCACCTTGTTATATGGCAAAAGTGAAAGAAAAAAAACCATATTATTATTATTATTACTACTACTACTAGTCTTATTCTTATTGTTATTATTATAATTACTTTTAATATTATTACTATTACTACTACTATTATTTTTATTAGTTATTGTTATAATTACTATTATTATTATTGTTACAGTTATTATTATTATTATTATTATTAACGATATTATAGGTATTTTACATTTTGGATATTTTATAAGTTTACATGTTGTTCTGAACGATATTATGGGTATTTTACATTTTGATTTTTTATAAGTTTTATATAAACTACTAAGTGGGGTTTTTAGGTAATTTTGACCATTTGATTGCCGGAAAATGACATCTGGTGACTGCAAGGGGCAATTTGTAACTTTTTAATAGTTTAGGGTTTGATTTTCAATCGTTACTCATTTAATCCTGGTGCCTCTTGAAGTATTAGGTTTAAGGTTCGACTCTGTAATAATCGGGTTTTTTTTTTTTTGGTACATACATGTGTCATGAGGTTCTGGGAGTTGTTTAAAGCGTTTCTTCGAGTTGAGGACCCTTAGAAACCATTTGGACCCATTTCCAGCTTTTTTATTTTTGTACACGAGAGGTCCCATGTGGGCCCGAAGTTTAGTTTCCGTGCTCGGGAAATTTTTTTGACTTCAAAATTCATCATTTTATTTTCATGTAAGTACCTTAATTTTCATGAGTGTTACATTATATATATTTGTATAGTTAATAATATAAGGGACATGGAAGAAATTTGTAAGTTTATAGTGGAAGGTGGGGACCACTTGTTGACTAAACACATGTATAACCACACACATATTAGATATGGGACTCAATTCCTTCCTCCTCACTCGTAGCTTTTGTCTCTCTCCTTATTCTCTCTTCTTCTTCCATTTTTACAACAAACCCACTTCAAAGGAGCTTACATTTCATCTCCTTTGAGTGAGACTTTGAGATTATGATAGTTAGCAAAGTGAAAGAGCTCAATGAGAGCTACAAGATGATGCAATTTTGTGAGCATTGGGACATTTTCAATTTTCGGACCTAGGCTAAACCTTTGCTTTTAGGGTGGCTTCAAGAGGAAAGATTGATCTCCTCTCATTTCTCTTCACTTCGGTGTAATT